ATAACCCTTTTCTCCTTTCACCTTCCTTGCTAAGCTCAAAAGCTGATGATGCCCAGACCTAAGCGGATGCCATAAGAAAGATACATGTGTGTGTATGTGTGTTTGTGGTACTTGCTTACCTGGACTCTGATTAATGCTGATCGCTAGCCTTATTCAGATATTGACATTGTTTGGACCAGTGTAAGGGGTTCATCAGCCAAGTCTCACCAACTGGTCTTTCCTTGGGTTTACTGGATGCATCTGGGTTTACAATGCAGAAATAATCCAGTTTGACACCACCTGAACCGCCATGGCTCAGTGCTATGGAATTCTGGGAACTGTGGTTTGGTGTGGCACCAGAGCTCTCTGAGAGAGAGGGCTAAATATCTCACAAAACTACGTTTGCATAGCATGAAGCTATGGCAGTTACACTGGTGTCAAACTGGGTTATTTCTGCAGTGTGGATACAGCCTAGGGGGGCTCTTTAAGTTCAGGACCATGGATAGCTCCTTTGAATGTCATCCTAAAAGAAACCCCAGAGCAGATTTGTCATTCCCCATTGACATGGAAGTCCCTCCATGTTTCTTATCAAGAAGAGGACCTCGTAGGGTTGGTTGGTCTTCCTCATTCCAGATGTTTCCCCAACATGACCTTTCAGGATGGGAAGGAAGAAACCACTGAACCATTTTACCCCGGTTGTTACCCTTCACCTCCCATTCCATCATTTTGTTGTTGTCCGCCCAAAGTCATTTCCAACATGGCAGCCCTAAGGCAAACCTATCACAGGGAGTTCTTAGCAAGATTTATTCAGAATGGGTTTGTTTTTGCCTTCCTCTGAGGCTGAGAGAGTGTCACTCACACAAGGCTACCCAGTGGGTTTCTAAGGCCCAGCAGGGATTTGAACCCTGGCCTCCAGAGTCATAGTCCAGCGTTCAAACCACTTGACCACACTAGATTTCATTCTATGGGTACGATCTCTAAAAGTAAAGAAGCCCGCTCTCTTCCCATCTCTGGGTGGGAAAGGCAGCCATCGGGTGAGTTTTGATGAAATGGTCTCTCAGGAGCCGGGCCAAAAGCAGAGATCTGATAACAGGGCTTTAAAAATGCTCTGTCCTTTCCCTAAAGATGGACTGAGGTTTTGCTTTCTTGCCCTTTCTCCTGTATTTCTGCCTTCCACTCCCTTCCCTTGATGCCTTGAGGCTTCCTCCTGCTATAATGTACTTTTCTCTGGCGTTTTTCATTGCTAAAAAATTGGAAAGAAGCCAAATAGGAGGAGATAAACTGCAAATGCCTCTTGAGTTCATGGGGGAAAATGTCAGCCCAGGGAGGCATGCGCATTTGCTTCCAATTAGGATTCATTTCAAGTAATTGCAGTTTCAGGGAAGCTATTTGGTGGACTCCGGCTGAATGGTTGATCATTGATGGTTAAAAAGCATCCTTTGACATTTCTGCACACAAGAGCCCTTCAGAGCCCTTCTGTAGTTTCCCAAAGGGATGTAACTTTTTGCAAGACTCCGATGGTGGAATTGCAGATTTTTTTGGAGGTAGTTTGTCTTCTGACCCCTGGGTTACAACCCCATAAACTTTCTATATGTTGTGTTGAAGGCAAAGACCAAAACCCTTTCTTCTTGAGCAACCAACGTGGTGGAGAAGGAGTTGCTCTTACATTTGTAGTGTATCATTGGACTCAAAGAAACCCCAGTGTGCTTTCTGTTGTCTGTTCTGAATGGTTCCTACCCTGAAAGGATAGAAAGCACCTAGATTTATTTATTTATTTATTTATTTATTTATTTATTTATTCATTCATGGGGGTTTATAGCCTGACTTTCTCCCAAAATGGGATTCAAGGCAGCTGATGGAGAAGGCAGTCGGGGCTCACCATGTTTCGTGGGGCTGCTCAATCCACTCTGGGTTTAAGTCTGGATTAAAAGCTACTACTATCCAAGAAGTTGGACTTAATTTGGGGATAGGGTGCTGCACCCAGGAGATCTCCGTTGCAGTTTGGACTGCAACCCAGAACGGATATTCACCGTCATTCCCAGCAAACATGCAAGCAGCCAGATTCTATGGGTTGCCTCCTTTGCTGGCTGTCGAATGTCATATCCACGTAACAATACCGCACCACCGTGTTATAGTGCTATTATTCCACTTTTACAGCCGTGGCTGCCTCCTGTGGCATTCTGGGATTAGTAGTTTAGTGAGGCCCAGGAACTGAGGATGATAAATGCCCTTCCTTAAACTGCAAATCCCAGAATTTCATAATAGGCGGCTGTAGAAGCAAAAGTGGAATTGTAGCACCTGTAACAACATAGTGGATTATTGTCCGTCTTGTTTTTCATTTCTGTGTACCTCCAGATGCTCTGCTGTTTGGTTTCCTTCTGAATCTGTTTGATTTCTTTCTGCCTTTTGTTTTTCTTTTTCATCTCATTCTCACCTTCTC